CATCGCAAACCACACGCACAAAGACAGCGTTAACACAACAGACTCACACATGAAGAATACGTAACTTTTTTCACATTGACAATAATGAGAACGAGGCAGAATCTATCTAACAGTCTCAGGATGTTCTGACCCGATCCGAGCACAGTCCAACTATAGTACTATGTCACAAGTTTCAACTAAACTTTTTCAGGGAAAAAGCCTCAAATAAAACACACACAGAATCTCCACAAAACAATTGCCAGAATACTTCATGAGCAGCGTGAGTGAATGTTGTTTCTTATCGTGATGCAGATAGGGTGCTGTGGCTAACGCTAATGCTAACATGAGCTTTTAGCCATGTCTGCCGCAGCGGTGTATATCTACTGCTTCTTTGATCATTGTAGTTTTAAGCTCCCACAGACGTTATTCCTCCATGCGTCTCTTCTCTTCACACCGCGTTTGTAAAACTATATTATAATAGATCCATGGTAAAGCGAGTACCGCTTCAGAACGTGGTCTTGTTTACATCCACTCCTCCACACGACTGTCAAGTGCCCGAGACGTTTGGAGAGATCCAGTCATTTATCAAACTAAAGTATTCTTTCCTTGGCAGTCTTGTGAATGACTGAGAGTTGAGGAGCTCTGTCTTAGACAGTGCTCCTCGGCTTCCGTACTTTAATAGACTGCAATATTAGATCTCAACGCTAGATGGCACTAAATATTACACAGTGTACCTTTAAGCAATCACGTTAGCAGCACTTCTTTAATTTAGCATATGGTTAGGTAGGTAAAATTCAGGGAAGACGTAATATCCTTAAGTCTAAAAAACGTAGTTCGTCAGTAAATCTGCATTTGGAGTCAGTTATCTGGGAGAAGCTTTCTGCTTCTCAGAAGTGTCTGCTCTGAACAGCTTGTGTCCCTATGATCACTTTGCTTTACAATTGTAAACCGCTTTGAGACTGATCTGCAGTGAAAAGGCGGTATAGAAATAATGATTACTTACTACTCTCTGATTGGTTGTCACACATGCATCCAAAGAAAAAGTTGAACAATGTTTACCGCATTCGTCGAGTCGCCGTACCCACCATACCGGCGCAGCAGATGCGCCAACCGCGCATGCCGCAATGCACATGCAAATATATTAGGTCTGTCCAAAATAGCGCGTTATTAACGCGTTAACGCAAATCAATATTAACGCCGTAATTTTTTTTATCGCGCGATTAAAAAAAAAAAAAAAAAATTTTTTTTTTTTTTTTTTTTTTTTACTTTTTATTGCAGACAAACACATATACAGAAAAAAAAATAGAAACAAAGAAAAGGACTAGTTCAGATACATTGTAGACAGAGATTACAAACAATATGTAGTTGGAGATACAGGGGGCCAAAGAAGAAACCCAGAAGGGCACATAGGAGGGGGGGGGGGGGCATGAAGTGGGAGATGGGGGGAGGGGTTAATAAAAAAGGCAATACAAGCAAACAGTATACAGTCATAGATATACCGAAGGTAAACAGAAACAGCATAGAGTATTCACATGAACAAATTTACAAAATATTTACAGATTGTTTATCATCATCATAATGACACCATGATGTTTCTATACAGTCTATGGTCTATACCCACACATACACACACACACCCACACACACACATTGAAGGGGCTTTTTGTTACCAATTATTTATTTTGTCATCCATTTATTGATGATTTTGCATCAAATGTTAGTGTGTAATATAACACTACACCTTGTTTTCAATAAAAAAAAAGCAATTGCACACAGCACGCAAATGTGTGACTAATTTGCGATTAATCGCGAGTTAACTATGAAATTCATGCGATTAATCGCGATTAAATATTTTAATCGTTGGACAGCACTAAAATATATGCATCAGTGTACATCACCATTGAAGTTACATGTAAACTCGCCGCAACACATGGTCTTGTTTAAACGGCCCTTCGGGGAAAGAAATCTCTCCCTTTGTATAAGGTAGCAGCTGAATCTTAAAGCCATCAGTGTCGTGGGCAACTATTCAACATGAGTAATAATGTGGTAAGTGCCAAATGAGGGCTGCAACTTAAGTCAATCTGCTGTATTGTCCTTTGTAGAGTTTGTCTTCACGCTCTGCCTGTAGACAAAGGGTTGGGAACACAGCGTACCGTGAAGTGCTCAGCAGACTAATCCTTCTAAATTCCTCCAACAGCACATTCAATATTTGGAAAGTGTAATCGTTGGAACAGATGCACTTAACTTGTATTGCAGAATAAATGCGTATATTTGCTCTAGACTCTAACGATAGTTCTCTGTATCAGCGGTGTCAAAAGAGCCTAACAAATGACTTTTCCCCTTCCATGAGCTTAAATGTTACCAACTATTTCCGCTGCTCGTCATGGATTTCTAACTAATCATCTTCAAAAACTTGAGCAGTTGGATTTGCCACTGGAAATTTTCGCCCCTACTAATACACCAATCCCAGGCTTTTCAGATTGCAGGGGCAGCACTCTAAGCAGAGATGCCCAGATTCCCTATTACACCCACCTCCTCCAGCGCATCTGGGGTGGTCACAGGCCAGCAGAGAGACATAATTCTGAGCGCCCTCAAGTTGTGAGTGCCCTCAACAGAGCATTTCATGCGTTTCTTTCATGCATTTCATGTTGTTTTCTCTTATTGTGGCGCGGCTTTGCCCGACAGCTACTACCAACTAATGCATCATGGGATCACCCTTGCGCGCAAGTGAGCTCCGGGCCGCACTTTTATGGGTGTGAGGGTCCTTGCCTCTTCTCTTCGTAGGGTATTAGGACACCCTACAACCCCCGCGGGGACACGCAAAATCTAAGGTAAGGGTGAGAATTGGGACGGGGCTAGAGTCCCTCCAGCGTGTCCTGGGTCTTTCCCAGGGTCTCCTCTCAGCGGGACATGCCCAGATCACCTCCCCAGAGAGGCATCCAGGAGGCATCCGTAACAGATGCCCGAGCCACCTCAACTGGTTCCTCTCAACATGAAGAAACTGTGGCTCTACTCAAAGCTCCTTCCGTGTGACTGAGCTGCTCACCCCATCTCTAAAGCTGTGTCAGTTGCCTGACGCCCGGTGGAAGGAGCTTCTCTGTTGCCAGTATAGTCCAGAGACAATGGTGGATATCAAGAGAGCAGCCTTTAGTTGTTTAGCTTCTACACAACGTGTTCTGGGTTCACCACAGACTTGAGAAGCTGCAGTGTTTGCTGAGTTTCACCATTTACAGACGAGTTTCACTTTCAGCGGTACGTCCGCATGTCACTCGCAAAGTTTGAGTACCCGCACCCCGCATCGGTGCTCGGATCGCCCGCCTGCAGTGCGCTTCACGCGCCTGGACACCAACTACAGGCACTCGATTCCTGCGGAGGAGCGCCTGTCAATCAGTCTGCTTTCCAGCAGTCTGGTCTGTGTCTGAGCCAGACTGCTTGTTGAGTCAGCTTGTTCTTATATTAAATAAACTACTTTTACTTCACAGCATGTGTAAATTGATTTTGTTACTTTCTATTAAGAACGTTACTACTCATACAAATAATATTGCTAATAATAACAATAATGACAACAAAACAGCAGCAGCAGCTACGTGACTTCTTTCCATAACAGACCCAATGCTGCTGCTGGTTCTCATCATCTCCTGATTGGTTGATGCCCGGCGTGAAGCTTGAAAAGCTCAGCTTTTCTCAACTTCGGCGTCAAGGAATTTTTGATGCCGAAAAAGAAATGCGCGTAATGCTCGCGCCTCTTGGCGCCACCTGACGCTTTTGAAGTCGAAGTTGAGTCCGGTGTGAACACAGCTTAGAGGAGCGCCCAGCAACTCTGCGGAGGAAGCTCATTTTGACTGCTTGTCTTTTTTTGACAAGCTTCCTCCTCTGCCAGCGGATCCAACTCACGATCCTCTGGCAGGTGGTGATCAGTTGACAGCTCCGCCTCTCTTCACCCAAGTGTCTGAGACACGTGGCTGAAGATCAGATGACAAAGTCGATCTTCGGCCTTGAGTGTTCTGGTGCTCGAACATGGTGTTTGTTATGCACAAACTTTGAATAGCACAGAAGTACCTGTGGGGGGGAGGAGCGTCAGCCGAGAGGATCTCACACCTGGGTCACGCCTCTGTTTCACCATAATGGTGCTTTCACACCGGATCATGCGTTGCGTCAACTTTCAATGCAAAGTCAATGGTGACGCGCGTTTGAGCGTCAAACTGCATGTGTGTCTCGGGCAGCACGCACAGACTGCGCGGTAGAGACGCACGTACTGTGCGGCAAAGGCGCAGCAGAGACGCGGGAGCGGAAAATCGACGCACGCATGAGATAAATATTGCTGCTGTAAATAAGGCACAAGGTTGCAGGTATAAATACATAGAAATATGTTCTTAAGTTCCTGGTTCTGACAAATTTTGGGTTCATTTGTCCAGGTTTTTGCACTCTCATGACAGATTATTTTTTTTTCTTCATACTGTTGAAAAATCAATATTAGAACTGTCCAATCATGTCCTCCATTAGCGCTCATGCCTGCCGCTGCCTTAACAACAGCAAAGAGTCCCCTTGCTTCTAATGGGATTTGAAAAATCACAAATAAACTTTAGCACATTACCTCTTCAGTTAACGAATATTATAAAAGCAGATTGCAATGTCTGAGGATTTCAATCCAATTCAATTCAATTTTTTCTTGCCCTCAATTCCAACAGTAGTTCTCGGAGGACTTAAAACACAACCTTTGAATTTTCCAACACAGATCAGAGAATCAAACAGTACAAACACAAGAATGCAATGATATAAAAGGGCCATTGATCCATAAGGGGAAGATTACTATTGTCCATAAATGTTGAGTGTCCTCATAATACCTATAGATTTGGGCCTTATTCATCCTAACCATGTATTTTTCCAATTCACATTATTTGTACATCTTTTTTATTTCACTTCTTAAACATATCATGCCAGAGTATATATTCTTCAGATCATGTTTCTGAACACAAATCATACGTATAGACTAATTGTGCTTCCCTGGTGTACTTGTGCAGGTCTTTTTCACCAGGAACGGGAAGCTGATGGGGCGCAGGGAGATGGCGCTGCCCCCAGGGGGTCTGTACCCGACCGTGGGCATGCTGAGCTGTGGAGAGAAGGTGAAGGTGGATCTGCACCCGCTCAGTGGGTGATCTGAAGATACATGTACAAATGGACCTGAAACGGCTATAGCACGGACATGGAGCTGCTTCTGCTGGTCACTCAAAGTCTTCCACTGCACTGTTAATGCTGTCCTCTTGTATAATCTGTGAGCTGTTTAAAGACTGCTACAACATTGTTCCTTCTCATAAACAGATCTGGGGTTGTTTTTAGCCCCACCCAGGTGAATAGGTTGCGTTCATGTTGTAGAGTTCTATTTCAGTTGGTCGGAGGGCAAGTGCCAATACAGCTGTTTTCAAAATTATTATTGTTGAAAAAGAAAATGGTCATCATTATAGGATATTCACAAACCCTCATTTCTACTGACCAACACAAGGCATATGTTTTTGAATATTGTCACCACTTCTCTGGACACTCAGACATATAAGTTATTAACACAGTGGTGAGAAACTATTACTACTACTTCTACTACATCTGCCCTGGGGTGAAATGATGGAAGTGAGGCACTACTCTGCGCCATCAGCCCCTTCCTTCACCACCTCCGATCATTCACACACTGTTGTTGGGACTGAGGAGCCCAGTCTGGGACTGTGGCGCTCCCATCACAGTACTTACCCAGGCTCTGGCCTGCTTATCTTCTAAGGCCTGACAAGACCACAGACAGCTCTGTCCAAGATGTCATATGTTATTGTCCAAGGACTGTTCAAATGCAGTTATTTTTTTTATCTTAACTCAAAGCAGCAATTCAGACATTTATTTAGGCAAAGCATTTTCGGGGATGTTTGTTCCAGCGATTCTTGTAGTTAGCATGAATGAAACTGCAAACATTCCCAGGTCCCTTTGATGAGGGACACTATTGAAACATTGTTTTTCTGAATGTGTTCTTTTAAAACAACTTAAGGTTCCTTCACTGCTGAATCCAATAATCTTCACTCCAGAATATTACTTGTTTTTTTACATTCTACACAGGACATGAATTTTCAACAGCAAGTATGAAGAATAGACTTCACAACATATGGTGACACTGCCCTCATGTGGTCATTACAGGAACACTGACTGTCTGAAGGAACGCTACAAAATGTTCAGATGGTTGATGGAGCTTTATTGTGTCACGTCATCAACTTAAGTCTAAAAGCTTTTTTTTTTCAAAAAGTCTTATATAAAAATCTATAAAATCTACGTTTTAATATTTATCACATTTTAGATCCATATTGATAAATTTAAAATACTGAGGCTTTTAATGCTTGAAAGTTTTGCACACAGATGTGTGAAACTACATATTTACGATCTCCCCAGATAACCTCATCTATGTTATCACAATCGTGAACATTGGATTCTGCAAAATAAGCCCACATTGATGAACTCTCAGGTTGGAGACTAAATGTTCAAAACTGTAGCAGAAGCATTCTGTGTCATTAGATCAGAGTCAACATGGTCCATTTCAACATTGTTGCTTATATTTATCTATTTCCATGGTTTTTAAAAATTGATAATTTCCGTAGTAGTTGTGTTAGTTCGTATTTTTTTGGCCCACATGAGCCTTCTCACACACGCATGCTGGTCAGTGCATGTTTGAGTAGTAACAGAGGTAAGGCTGGACGTTTTTAAATTGTCTAATGGACCTTGAACTTTATTTACAATGTCTTAAAACGGTTCAGGGAATTTTTATTTGTACAGTAAACTTTGATTTAATTCAATTACAGCAATATATTCCAAAATGTTTCCCACCGACTAATGTTTGCCTTTTTACAAGTGATGGATTTATTATTTCCACTGGTTTAATGTATCTATGTTATTTGTAATTATATTTTCCTTGAGACAATCACTTCACTTTTGAGCCAGTTCAAAACTTCTCATGGTCAAATAAAGTGTCCAAATAAATATGCTTAAAGTTTCTTGTGCCATTGCGATTTTTTACATGACAAGCAGCTGTTAAAAGGGCGACAGTAGCTCAGTTGGTAGAGCATTGGCCTTAAGGCCAGAAGGTTGTGGGTTCAATTCCCACCTCTGCACCTTCTCCACTGATGACTGCTGTCGTTGTGTCCTTGGGCAAGACACTTAACCCCACTTTGCCCAAAAGCCCCCACTGAAAGATCAAGGCTCTGCTCACACTCAGAGAGCAGCCGTCCTCCTGTGGACTCACCACCTGCAGAGGGTCAGTGAGGGGCTGGTGCTATGAGACTTGGGTGGCATCTCTGATTGCCACCCCCCTGACCCAGAAATGGATTAAAGGGTAGAAAATGGATGGATGGAAGCAGCTGTTAAACAATCAGACAATATTGGGGTTTCAATGAAATATCTATTTGAATGAAAAGAAAAAATACACGTATAAAGTGAAGCCTGTGGTTTTCTAATAATTTAGCCTTTTTAAAGAGGGGTGGTAGTGGGTGGGATTGAATGTTGCACCTATCAAAATAAATCCATAAAAGTACCACAGTGCTGTAAAAGTAAATGAGTCACTAAAGTCATCAGGGGCCATTTTTCTAAAGATTCTTGGTGCTCCTAGTGGCCAAATTTTAAGAATATTCTTAGAATTTCCCCTAAAAGTGAGGCGTAGATCCTAGTTAAGAAAAAAACTACACTCAAAGAAATGATTCAGGTGGTTAGTATTTTGAACTCAAAATACATACTAAACTAAACTCAATAATTGATTTTTGCCAGTTTTACTTAAATTAGTGTGGTCGCAACTCATTTTAAACATGCCCGCCTCAATTAAAAGTTAATACAAGAATCCTAACTCATTTTTGTAACAAATTTGAACTTGATAATCTGGCAGAACTGGACAACGGAGAAGTATTGAGTTTGCTCAACATGAAAATCCTCTTGTAAGCCTGGTGGCCCATTAATGAAAAAACAAATATATTGAGTTGATTCAAAATAAATATATTGAGTTGATTCAAAATAAATATATTGTGTTGATTGAAAACAAAATGTGGCGAAGCAGTGACCCTACCCAGAATGCATTGCAGCGAAAAATATAAACTTCTTAAAAATTCTACATTTGAGCATTAATTTTAAAACTGAATATGAAGCAAGTCCAAAAGCAAAATACTTGAGCAACATTCTGAATAAACTAATTTGACCAAATAAGTAATTGTATTTATTTTTATCAACCATGATCGAGAGGGCCAAGCCAAAGCAGTCCTATACTCCCTGTGTCACCCTTCAATTTTGAACAAATACTTTAAGGTGGACATGTTTACCAGTGACTGTGCTGGCCCACTCTCATATATATGTGGAGTGAGAGACTACTGCCTAAAATTAACAATTGTGAACCATTGTGTGAATCTAATCTTTGAAAGATGGAATTTGAATAAAGATTACGTGTTCCTGACTGAAAATCACTTGTTGAATATACTCAAAAAGATTTATTTTCAATGTAATTATTTAAGTTGGTAGTATTGTTAAAATTGAGTTGAACTGATGCTAAAACACTTGCTGAATATACTTAACAAAGTGTCTTTATAACTCAATTATCCAAGTTGGTGGTATTGAAAAAATTGTGCTGGACCAATGATAAAAGACTTACAAAGAATACTTAAAACACAGTCTTGTTCGCAAAACTTAAAAAGATGCATGCAAAATGCTGCCTCAATTTTATTAAGTTTTGCCAATGCATTTTTTTTTAGAGTGTATTCTTAAAGAATCCTAGCTATTCAGAGAGTTTCTAAGGTGAGTCCTCCCATCTCTGTGTGGAGTGAGAGGACAAGTGCCCAAAAAATAACAATTGTAAACCTTTGTGACTCTGGTCTGTGAAAGGCGGTATATAAATAAAGCTTACTTACTTACTTAGATCTCTTAAGAGTAGAGAGGAGGACTTTTAGTGACCTAATAGGACAAAATGGTGGACGGAAGAGGCAGTAGAGATATTCTACAAACATTGGATGACAGTGTCCAGTTGGGTTTCCCCTATTTATTCTTCATTGCTGTTCATTTGTTTGTGGTATAAAGTTAACCAACACGGCTTTTTATAGGTTGGTCAGCAATCACAGCTGTGCCACCAAAGTGAGTAGAAATGGTGAAAGTTGAAAGAGAAAAAATGACCTGCGTGGCCATTATTATGAGCAAATATACAGTAACAATCACTGTTTTAATACTGTGCAAGTGGGCCTAAGTTTTCACACATTCTTCATGATTTAAAAGTAAAACTTACTATTCATAGCATTCATTTTACATTGACATGTTTCTATCTTTTATGCAGAATATAAATTACATATGCAGCCCCTGATCTTTAGACATGCCAATGATCAGCTCAATCAGCTAAAGATATTATTTTCTGAGGCCAAAACTACATGCATGTGAAAACTAGTGATATTGAAAAATATTCATATACTTAGGTTTTGCAAACATCCCACTTCCTGAACGTGTGAATACAGTAACTTGTCATTTTGCAATATTTTATTTATTTATTTTATATATATATATTATATATAAATATATATATATGAGTTGTACATTTCAGCTTTCTTCTGTTCAAAAGTTTCTCAGCAATAAAATGTTTCAAATTGATTTGACATGTTCAGAAATAAATCTCAGTAAAAACAGTGATGTTTTTCAATCAATTTATTTATTCGACCCATAAAAACATCCCTATAAAAAATGTCCAGTTTTAACACTGAAAATTAACACACAAAACGTTCAGAACTCAAGACATAATTCACATAATTCAAAACGGAGAATCATTTTTTTTTTTTCTGCTGGAAATTGGAAGGTTATGACAATTTTTTGTCAATTGGGCTCATTTTAATGGAGCCTTGTAATGGGACAATAGAAATGGTTTTATAATTTATCAATTTCAGCCAATGTAATAAGTAAAATGATTTATACACCAGACTTTCAAAAAAGTACAAAGACAAAAAGTTTTTTCAAATTTAAAATCCAAATTTTAAACAACAGTGGCTGAATATCTTTTAATTCATCAAATGTTTTTGACTCCTTGCTCATCTTTGATTTTATTTTATTGGCTGGATTGAATTTACTTCAGATTTGTTATGAAATTAGCATAAATGAATGTGATACCTTTTACCAAAAC